AGCGCTGGCCGGAGGAGGCTGTCACATCGCCCGTGCTCTCCGTGCCTTGCCCGTTCGGCGTCTGGAAAAGCACCCCCGGCTGCGCTGCGGGGGCTGGTTTTCCGTGTGGCGCCTTTATGAGCCTCCGTGGCAGCTGTGCCCGGAGCTGCTGCCACCACCGCGGCTGGGCAACGCGGGGAAAGCAACGTGAAACTTCTCAGCCCGTGCGAAAGCATTGCAGGAAAATTGGCGCCCGGAACTGGGCAGGGCAAGGGGTGGCACAGTAGCATTGCTGCTAGGCGGTGTGCTGTTTCTGTTGCCATACCTTGTGTGCTCTCTTTTGGTAGACCCTGCTGACGGACCGGGACTTTCAGGGCCTCACACAGAACAGACTGCGGATAGGGAGAATGGTGGAAGTTCATAAGCATCCCTTTTAATTCAGAAGGGGGACAGGGGACAGGCTGCAGCTTCACCACACAGAGCTGAGGTGTAGCTTGCCTTTTGGTGGGTTACGAGGGAGAGTAGGCTTTGATGTGGCAGAGGAACTGGAGAGAAAGGTGGCCTTCAGGGCTTGCATTTGGCCTGCAGGTAAGGAGAACCGTCGAGTCTTGTCTCATACAGAGCAGTGGGGCCACGCTTCAAGTTAGGAGATGCTGCTTCAGTCTTGTGTGTACTCCATAGAAGCACAGTGAAGTTTACTTAATGCTGGCGTGCAGCAGATGATTTGAGGAACTTTGATGAAAAGGACCCGTGGAAAATGTTTTGTTTAAATTTTAATTTGTTGGATTTTCTCTCGCACTTCTGTTTTTAATAAGAATAAATTAAAGTGCCAAGAAGTAGACTGTGTTCTGTTAAGAGTCAGAATTGTTTCTGTGAAAGGAAAGATGATGATCACGCTTTTGGAAGAGGTATTGTCAAGCTTATTTACCCAGTGGAAAGAGGATTTGTTCTAGATGTGATCTGGCAAATAATAGCAGTAATCCAGCAGAAAAGAGTAGACTATTGCAAACTCAACAACTAAACCAACAAGTGTGCCTGTTTACCTCACCCACTGAACAGTCATTTGGTAGAATGGCCCAGGAGTTCTTGTACCCACTTTCCACAGCTGAAATAGGACTTCTTTTTAACAAATGGTATTTAAATAAAATTGTTCATTTTGAGACTGTAGCTCTTGATCTGCCATTTTATGGAAAGCAATACTTTTGGATGTAGGCTGGTGGGTGTAGGATGTAGGATGATGGCCTGGTGGGCAAAGCTGGGGGTAGTAATCATGAGACTGATTATCGTCTTGGCCCTGTCATTTATCTTCTGTGAGTCCTCAAGCAACTTAACTCACACCTCAGTTTCCTCTCTGTAACTAAGATACATTATAATATTTCTCTACTTTTCTAAGGGTAGGGAGGATAAAGTGCAGTGAGAGATTGCAAGGCACTATGAAGTGTCATGTGCATTAAAGACCTAAGTGGGTCTCAGTTGAGTCATCTTTGTGCTTTGGATTTTGACTTCAGGAGGATGCTTTGTGGAAGAGAAAGATAGGAAGAACAACCGTCTAGTCTGGTTGAATGAATGTGGAAGCCTTTATGATAATGCTCCTCTTCTAGCCAAATTCAACAACATGTTTCCTTCCTCTGTTTAACCAGTTCTATCTTATAATTTCTATTGCAACTGTTGCTATGGTCTTCTGTATTACCTGCTTCTTTATTAACAGAGCTACTCATCCTCTTGCTGCTAGAGTGTTTGCAGTAACAGACCTTTTGTCCGCTAGACCGGAGATCCACTTCTCCCGGAGCAAGTCGCTGGTTTCCCACCAGTGGTTTCCCACTTGCGTGCTGGTTTGGATGCCTTGCGTTACACCTGGCTGGAGGCTGCCCCTGCCATAGTCGAAAGGGTGGCCATATGACTGCAGCTCTGCTCAGACTACCACTTTCTTGTCCCAGCTGGGATTGTCTGTGTGTGTGAAGGGGGAGATGATCAAGTGTTTCGGGCAGGGACATCAGTGACTGTTCCAGCTAGAGATGGGGGCTAATATATGGGTCTAACAATACCTGTACTGACATCTTAGTTTTCCTATGTAATTTATCCCATGCTTTTTATGCTTTGTTTTCTTTTCTAAAATAGAAATCACAGAGTGCTGTGGACAAGTGTTGTGTGGTGTTGTGCGTCTAGCAAGATGATGATCCTGAGTCATTGCTGTAGAAAACCATTTCTTATATGCACGGAGCTTTCCAGCTGTCCTGTAGAATCACATTGGCACAGTCAGTTTAAGCACTGTTGGAGTAGGGTTAGTTATTGCAGCTGTTGTATGAAAGTAAAATAATCTCAGTGCTGCATTTTATATTTCTGCACTGTTGCTTGCTTATGCTGCATCCTCTTCAGTGTAGTCTTTGACACTGCAAGTATTTTTTCCTAGTAGCTGTGAGGTGCCTCTGGAGGCTGTACCTCGTGCTTGTTTCTTTCAAATTTTGAAAGTAGGATAGTGGGATGCTAGGTGAAAGAGGAAGTCGTCGTTTTTCCAGGAGCTTTCTGGATTTTTTTGAAAGACAGACTCTTCCTGACTTCCCACTTCACAGAACATCCAGGTTATTTAATTGAGTTAGAGACATCATATGCTCTCTAATAGATTTTTGTAAAATTGAATTCTGAACAGTAGCTTCCTGTATGATAGAGAGTTTTCAATGGTAAGATGTGCAAATTATGGTCTTCAGACAGAAATCTGAATATGAAATAAGTGACGATAATGAATGGTGAGACATGCTTTTCTAACGGTCATTTTCTCAGTGTAATTTTGGGTACACTGCAGGTATCTGTGATGTAATATAAATATTATTTAATAGCTAATGTTTAATAAACTAATATTTTAAATACTATATGTTCTTTACTGGCTTAATGTTTTTTTTTTTAAATAATCCTGATATTTTATGCATAAATCATGACTCTTGCATGGAATGAAAATATGGGAGTAGAATTTTATATTAATTTCTCTCTAGTCCTTTTCCTGCCTCTTAATGCATTTGGATGGCTCAAAGTGAAAACTTTTTAAGTTCTGAGCAGTTGGGGCAGATCACAGTTCAGCAGTACGCTATGTTCAGAAAGCTTTATCATTATGTAGTGGGGAAATGTCTCATTTGGCGTAATCTTTTTGTAAAACATGGTTGTAATACTATTCTGAAGGTGTTTTTCACTACTCTCTCATAAGCGATGCTAAGAAAGAAAATGAAATGTATTTTTCTTTCTCATCTGTATGCATTATGGCAAAGGAACAGTTTCAGATTTTTGAGAACTTACTAGGAATGCAGATTAAGTAAATGGTAGCTGTGTTGAAAATCCCGTTTTGTGTAAGACAGGAAATGAGTCATTGAGTCGAGGTCCCCTACCATTATGGGAATGACATCATATAATTCCTCATAAGATTCCTTTTATTCTTATTTTTTTCTTAATCAGGAGAACTCCTGGTGGTGTTTTCCCACTCAGCCATGTCAGAAAATTCTTATTCATTCCCTTTTTCATCTTTTTTCTTTTTCTGAAAAGAACCAACTGAAAATGTCTCAGAATCCTGAGAAGCCACATTCAAGTGAAGAAAAGTTGAGTGGTTTGGAGGATGGTCAAGAGGAGAGCTTGGATCAGTCTATCAGAAAAAGAATACGCCAGAGTGCTCCAGGGTTGCACAGAGATGATACACCAAAGTGTAAGCAAAACTGCTTTATTAAAAAAAAAAAAGTAAAGTCTATAATTTTTTGGTGGAGACAATCATGGCATCTTATTGCATTCTGTGCAAGTTTGACTGTTTTGCAATTAAATATTGTGTGACTCTTGATCACTTGCTTTGAAACAGTTTGTAACAGCTTTCTCCCCATTTTGTTTTAGTACTTAATTGTTCATAATAACCATGTTGCTCTGAGCCACATCCATCTTAGATACCCTTGCACGTCTGCACTCATGGAAAGGATAAGCACTACTCCAGCATATTCTAGCTAACCTGTTGCTGCTGTTGCATTATCAGCTGAACCTTCTGGATTGTTGCAGCCTCTGTTTCTACTGCAGGGCAAGGAAGGCCGTTATCAACAAAATAACTCCCTGTCACCCCCATCCCAATACAGATGGAAAGTAGTACATTTAATCCTAATAGCGCTTCTAGTGTCAAGCAGGACTGCGTATTTTAAGTTTATTCCTAGGGCATGTATTTCTTTGTCATTCTGCTTTTAACCTGAGAAGCTGGATGCAATATGGCTACCAATTATTTCTGGCAAAGCGATAGGTAAAACCAAGGGGAAGTTTTCTGGTCCCAGGGATTCAATTCAAAGAGGCAGAATTGCTCAGATAACTAGTTCCAAATTTCTGCAGGGATATCTCAGCATGTAGTATTTTATTTTTTGCATTCTTTTTATTTTTTAATAGTGTTTATTATTACTTGAGGTTTAGTGTTGTGTTTAGTGTCATGTTACACAGAGGAGATGTTCTTACGTCTTGCTGGTTGCCTGATAGGAAATGTGGTGTGTGTATGGAGAAGGGCTATGAACACGTGAAAGTAAAATGCGTAACACAGTCTTACACCGTATGGTACCACAAAGAAGTCGTTGGTCTCAAGCCCTCCCCTCTTGTGAGGGAGCAGATATAATATGAGAATGAAGTAACATTCTTTAAGAGCATTCTTTGGTAAATGAAAGAGTCTTAGCTTTTAGTGCATCCACTGCTAGAGTGAAGTCATTTGGCAGTTGGACAAGAGCACTCTCATTCAGCTGTGAACTTTGTTGTCCTGCTAGTTCTTCTCAGAATATCAATCCTCACTGTGTTCCCAGAGTCACTATGCAAGATTAAGCTCCCAGCAGACCAAAATAAGGGTTTAAGAGCACTGCACAAAAAGAGCAAGATATTAATGAAAAATTAGCACATTGGAACCATGCTGTATATACTTGGAACAGCTTTGAATGGTAGACAAGTGATGGACAGTTAGTTTTAAAGGACCTTTTCTATGTTACTAGCTTAAGTCCAATCAAACTGGATTATCAAATGAGGCAGAGATGATAGTTTGCCTAAAACATATCTCAGTGAACCCAGCCTATGAAGATCCTTGGTTGGTTTCTTTCATGTTGAGAATCAGTATGTCACTCCTGTGCCCAGACTGTAGTTGAAGTGAATGAACTGCAGAGAGGAATCAATCCATTAGGGCAATTCTGTCGTGGCTCTTTTCCCCTCTTCTGCTCTGCTAGATGTTTTCTGGAGGAGCTGAGATGAACATTGCCATTCTTGTCTGCCTCACCTGAGGACACTAAAGATCTAGCCCTCTCCCTTTTCTCAAATACCTGGACCAGGGAAGAGCTGTGGTGCTTCTCCTAACTTTTGGCAAGGCATTGCAGGGCACCCACATGCACTGCTTGCACTGATGCTACCACAGCTAGGCAGAATCTTTACCACAAAGAAGCAGTGGCAACAGGTTTCAGTTGGCTTCAGTGGTGATTACTTCCCTAACCAGCATGGCCTACACCCTTGCTGCCTTCTGTGCCTTTGTGTTGACTTGTTTTTAGGGCTGTAACACTTCCTGCACTACAGCGATGCCAGCAGTGTCCGAGGAGGATGTTATATAGTCCAGAACAATTAGGAGCTGTATTTCCCACTGCATCCAGGAAGCAAATTAAGTTTTCTGAAACTGCCCCTGTCCCTCTTCTACCTTCAAGATTTCTGCAGTCTGTCACTACCTTTGTCTCCTGCCTAATGAAAACTGGCCTGTTTTTTCAGGTTTGGTGCTTTCTCCTACTAGCTTGTATGCCCCAAGGGCCCAATTTGAAGCTGCTTGTTCATCCTTGTCCGTCCCAAATGCCTGCCAGAGGAAGAAGTCTTAGGCATTGGTGCTTCGACTAGCTCTTGACATCCTTTGTCACTTGGACAATGGCCTCTGGGGAAAAAAAGTTTGGAGAAATGCCAGTTGCACTGGCAGTAGTGAGAATAATTAGCTAGTAGTACGTTATTGCTTAATGTTAATGGTGGTTTGTTTGCTGACTGCTTTAGAGATGAAGTCACTTTCTTGAAAAATAAGAAATTGAAATGGCAACATCTGCACAATAATTGGGGAAATTATTTTAATGATTTTTTTGATGATTTCTTCCCACAGTATGGAGAAAGATGATATTAAGCAATCCTAAAGAAGTGGGGGTTTGGGTGTGAGGTTTGGTTTTGTTTTTTAAAAGAGCTTGATGGAACTTGGAAGCAATTGACATACTGAGCGCAGAATATCAACTTGGGTTCACTGCTTTGTTTCCTGTAATACTCCAAACCTGTGTCATCCGCCAGCTGGGAAGAGGAAGGGAAGGAAAGGAGAAGAATCTTCAGATGATACTGTCTTTTGGCCCTTTGTACTGTCAAAAAGGTGGAAAGGGTCCAAAAATAGTACCAGACTTTTTTCCACAGACTTTTATAGATAACTGTCTGACAGTTTAATTTATGTTGCAGCTAGTCCTCCTCGGCCTGTGTCAATAGAAGAGCTCATGGAAACAGCTAAGGGAGTAACCAACATGGCATTAGCACATGAAATTGTTGTTAATGGAGACTTCCAGATAAAACCAGCTGAATTACCAGAACACAGGTAAGATTGCTACCAAACAGATACATAAATTCAGTTTGCATTTGTAGAACTGCAGAACAGCTCCAGTGGATCAGATAAAGGCTCTGGCTAGTATCTTGTCTGGCAGTGCTTGACACGAGATAGGAAAAAGCATAAGAAGAAGAATAATGTAAGCATGCAGTTCTGCTTCCTCAGAAATGTGTGTGCGTGAAAGTTGAGCTCTTGAAGTAATTGTTTGGGCACGTGTGGTGCAAGTCCCAGTGTGGTGTGCTTTCTGTTGGTGTCCCCTTGTCCCAGGAGCCTGAGACTGCAGTCTTCTGAATACCCAAGTCTAGCTGCAGATGCAGGTAGTGCTCTTAGCTTCTTTCAAGCTTTCACTGCCTGTGGGAGTAAGATGAAACTGGTAACTTTGGCTTTTTCTGAGCTTAATGTCTGTTTCTCCAGCAATTTTTTGGGGGGAGAGATTCCTATGTTTTATTAGGTTAGGCCTTTCTCCTTTTAAGTTTTAAGTCTTTCCTTCTCTTTCTGACCTACCGTAATTCTATCCCCTGCTGAGAGGGGAGGGGCAGAACAGAAGAGGCCTTGATGTCTGGTCGCATATTGGCCCACATAGCTGACCTAGTCCTATCGACAGATGCTGCATCTGCTGTTCCTTTGTCTTTCACACACAGAGAGATGTGGCTGACTGTGTTTCCTGGGTTAATTTATGAAAGTTGAGTGCATATTTCATGGAAGAGACTTGGTCCACATTGGAACCAATGTTGTCTGTAGGTGTCTATGTTTGAGAGAGACCCCAGAGCATGTTACCTTCACGGGTCCTGCAGGAGAATATGCTACGGATGGCTCTTAGAAGACTGACATGGGTTGTCCTCTATAGAAAGTGGTCATACTGAGACAAAAGGTCTGATGCACGTCTCCACCAAAACAAGGTGATGGTGGTTCCCGTTAGTGTTAGTAATGAGAGGGTGTTGCTTGGAACTAGAACCATCCCTGACTGAAAAGGCAGTAATGGGAACAGTCCCGCTTCCCTTCTCACCTGGACTGTTCCTGTCTTTCCAGCTCTGTGACACCAGCGTATTATACCGGTGGTGTTTTATTAATGGCTGTGGACTGCTAAACAATAGTAACCAAAGAAAATATGCTTGTGCTGTTTAATACTAGCAGGAATTGCCTTTGAGTAAGCGTTGAATGGAGCAGATGAGGGTCTTTGCTATACTTTGTTCACTTGTCTCAGCCTCTGAGTTGGTAGGAAATGGAATCATGGCCCCCTTAAATGCTGAGGACAAACAACATTTAACTGAGCTAGCATATGGCAGTAGACATCTCTGTTGTCCATCAAGACTCATATAATTTAGAGCTCAAGCAATGATTTGATCTGTCTTCTCAGCACTGTCTTTCAGTGTCTGCCTTGTCTGCTAGGGAGACCCAGGCAGTGTGGGCCAGTCCTCCTTTATTGCCTTACTTGCAGGTTGCCTGCAATTCCTGTGTGGTTGCGTGAACTGGGACCTGCCTCTAGCCTGCGCAAGCGCTGCCTCTGAAGCAAGCATTTGGAAAGTACACCTGAAACATGCAAAGCTCATTCTCCCCATTTGACGTTATTGTCTCTGTCCCAGCATCTTTTGGGGGAACTTCAATCAGGTGTTTTCTGCTTGGCGGTTGATGGCTGAGAATAAACGCTTCATCTGAAGTCCCACAGTTAAGAGAGTGCTGTTCTATTCAGTGTCCATTTCCACTCCGTGTTCCTTCACATGGACTTCTCGTATGAAAATGTGCTGTGATAGTGGATAACTTTTCTGGCATGCCTCAGTGCCGTAAAATTGGTCTTGGCATTTTTCAGGGAAGGATTTTAGCATGTCTTCTTTTTTCTATCCTTTCTTCTTTCCCCAAAAAAAAGGAGTGAAAGAGGTGGTTGGATGCTTTTGCTCACTGATGCTGAGCAGTGGCTGCAGCTGTTCACCAGAGTGGCTGATTTGCACCTCTTCACCTGATCACAGAAACAGATGTACTGCAGAGGTCACCTTGCTCGGGAGTGCCTGGGCTGTGTGAGAGGCCAGGTCTGCTTTAGTACAACATCCCTGTGTTTGGCTTTTGGGAGGGTTTTGGGTACAGCTATTTACCACCTAGAAAAGAAAGAGTAGTCCTTCAGATTTTGCTTGAAGAGGGACTCTGGAATCTTCCTTGGATTAAATGTTTTGCGTGTATGTGTGTATAGCATAGAGTCCCCCGCAGCTGGAATGTACGTGCAGACAAGTGGTTGGAGGAGAAAGCAGTTGTGACTGCATTTGCAGGTGTACGCGCTGTCAGTAGAGTACGTGTTGGCTAGGCTGAGGGCCGCAGGGCATAAGCACCTCTGGGCGCTGCCTGAACCTCGGCTACACATGGAGTCAGAGCCTTGGGAATCTGGTGTTTGTTTTGGGCATTCTTTGTGTGCTTGCCTGTACGTGTGAGCGTTTTACTTCTTCGGTGTGGAAGTTAAACCTGGTGTGAACATGAGCCTGCCTACTGAAGAGGAATAACTTTCAGTATTTTGAATTAGGAATTGGTACTGAAGCAGTGAAATGAATTTATTTTTTTTACACAAACGGAGCTGGGCCTTTATCTCCGCTTAGCTGCAATATTTATGCGTTGAAATGCATAAGCTTGTGTGTTAGGGAAGTTACTTAATTTCTGTTAAGTTTACTTAATGAATTTTACCTGGTGGAACTGCATTTCCTTTAGTGAAGCTTTTGAAAGGAACGTGAATACTGATCTTTTGAAGACAAGCTGTAATTTTTGTGCTTGCTTTTTTTTTTTTTCCCTTCCAGTTGTTTACTTTAGAGGTAGTGTATGATAGATACTTTCAAGGATTTTAATTTGTAGCCACCTTTGCTTGTGTGTAACCCTTTATTAGGATATAAGCCATTCCAAATCCTGTGTCCAGTTTTTCTTGCTTTTCTGAGTAACTTAAAATGACAGCTCTCTTCTCTGTTAATCGTCATATATATATTATTACATGCTGTTCTTCAGGAGCTGCAGGTTATCTCTGTAAGGTGGTGCAGTGACAAGTATGATTCTTTTTAACTTTATTTACCCACAGCTTAGAAAAAAAAGTAAGAGATATTGTGCATAAAGCTTTCTGGGATTGTCTGGAAGCTCAGTTAAAGGAAGATCCACCGACATATGACCATGCAATTAAACTATTGGGAGAAATTAAAGAGGTAAGATGATGTGATCTGAAGGTAACTTATTGAATTTGTGTAGCTTCATTGATATGAATGGGCAGAAGTGGTTAAGTTTGACTTTTCATAAAGGACTCTCTTGATCTTCTTCATTACTGTATCATTGTCTGTAAATGTATATAAGTTGTATAACCCCAGAGGAGAAATTTGAATGTAAAAACAAATGCAAAACCACGTAAGATGAATAAAAAGTAAGTAATACTAGTTTCATAATTCCAAGCTTCCTTCATGTTATGACAGTGGTATTAGTTATGGAATCAGTGAGATGCCCCAACACTGGGCTAACAAAACCAAGTACAGTAGTCTTAAGTATGATCTGTACTACGGAGTATTTACCACTTAATAACTTCAGTATCACACAGAATGAGATGAAACTCTTGGACTTTGTGAATAGTTGGGGGGCGTGGGGGGAAAGAGATTCCACTTGTAAAGGGCAATTAGTTTAAATAAAGTGGTTCAATAACTGTTTTGATCCTTGTAGTCTGTGACGTGTAGAATAATGCCCTGTTAACTTTCCATTTCAGAATCTCCTGTCTTTCTTGTTGCCTGGTCATACTAGACTGAGAAGCCAGATTACGGAAGTTCTTGATCTGGACTTGATAAAACAGGAGGCAGAGAATGGGGCCCTTGACATTTCAAAGTTGGTTGAATTTGTTATTGGGATGATGGGGACTCTCTGTGCTCCAGCTCGAGATGAAGAAATTAAGAAACTGAAAGATATTAATGAAATTGTTCCTCTGTTCAGGTACTGAAATGGTATTTATTAGTAATGTTGAGAGTCCCTTAAATAATTTTAGATGTGTGTGTGGTCCCAGCAGGGCAACCTGCAAATCTTTGTAGAAAAAGAGTGATAGGAAAGGGGATGTAGTTGTGGGTGTGAAGGGGAGAGAAGCTCCAGAAGTCTTTAACAAGGACCCTCTTTTTTCTGGTGAATTGGAGTATTTGTCTGGCTCCTGCATGTCACTGAAGGACATTTTCTCAAATACCAAATGCATATAAGCCTTAAGATAGCAGGTGAATGGTCAGTTTGTATCAGAATTTAATATCGACAGCAGAAGCGGGGGAAAAAGCAAGCAGGATAATAGGAAAAAGGGATTATTGTTCTCCAATCAGTTCTTCCTTTCCCCCCAATTTGAGCTCTCTTTACCCCCCACCCCACTCCCTGTATAATATCCTTTCCGTTCTAAAGGGAGTGTACATACCACATCTGGGAGCACAGAGGCTTCTTCTGCTTTGTCACTATGTTTTCAGTTGAACAGCTCAAGGTCTCAATAGTTAGAAGACATTTTATTAACCTTGTTGTTTTCTAATTTGATAAGCTTTCCAAGAGTTCAGGATTGACTTAGCAGAAATATTGCCAG